GACGTTTCAGATAATTTCGGGTCGGAACCGGACTTTCTAAGCAACTGCCGGAAATTCTTAAATTTTTTTAACTAAACTAACCTAACTAACTCTTAATCTTATAAATTAACTTYAATAACACTAATATAATCTTAATAAAAGCTAACCTGGGAGTTCGAATTTGACAGCTGTCACACCTGAGATCCTAGGCGGTAACAACCACAAGGGAGAGGCATCCACCTGACTTTAAAAGAAGTGTTCAATGATTAGAAAAAGGGGCATATGGAACATAGCAATCAAGACTTACTCATATAATCTTCTTTTCTTCCTATACAAAACTGTAATCCTTTATCAAGGTATTATTGTACACGATGACGCCACTTTTTGCCCCTAACTAGTGGATAGGTGAACTGACGTCATCTGCAGTTTTTCTCCATTATTGAGGTTTTCCTCATCAACAACTCTAACATGTAACATGTTTTTTACTTTTCCACATTTGCTTCTTATATGGTTTACTATTCACGGGGGGTTTTTTGTGATTATTTTATTTTAATTACTAAAAACATCAAAAATAGTTAACCACAACGACCAAAGATGCAATTCATTCTTAAATATTCTACCAATTGTAAAAATAATATGCTTGAAAAACTTATTTGTTTTGATTTGCATTCTATCCATAAAAATGCAATCCATTCGTTAGCATTGATGATAAATATGATCTTTGAACACATTGCCACCAACCAGATAATATTTTAAGGATTTCAACCATGTGATGTTTTAAAAAAATATCTGGATTGTGAGGCAAAGCTCATAGAATGTGACGTTTTTGATTTTTTTTTTTTTTTTTGGAAATATTAAAGAATTTGACTAAATATATAAACAAAAATCCTCAATATCAAAAGCATTTTCAAACAAATCATTAACTAATTGTTTTTCTATAAGCACCAATATCAATTAAATTTATCGTCGAAATTATTTTTAAAGAAATCCTACTCTTTAGTAAGATTCTTATTGTTTTAAATAAAACCTAAATTATAACTGAATTATTTATCAAACCAAAAGGACACATTATTTTATTTTATATTTAAACATTGTTTTAGAGGATTTAATATAGAAAAATTAATTAAAAGAGCCATTTTCGGACCTGATTTATCTATTAGTCATTTCTTTTCCATGATTACCGAATGTCATTACCTTTGCAAGTGGCACCTTCTCACTTGCGGAGGTAGCTAAAACACAAAAAATTCAGTTTCTATCCAAGTCAACAAGTGACACATCCATGACTTGCAAACCCTTCAAAAATTGAAGAAAAATATTGTTTCAACTCCCTTTGCATGTGGCCATCGCCGGATGAAACCCTAATTTTGTCAAGTTTGACCTCCACAATTTTGACCATGTTTGACCTCCGAAATTTTGGAAAAAAATCTCATTTTCCACGTTTTCAGATTTGTTTTACTTGCGGATGTGCACTATTATTTTCAACAAAAAACTTGATTTGATTCCAATTTGTACAATATTTATACAATTTTTCAGTACATTGATTGATTTTTGCTTAGATGATTGTCTAATCTGAGCTATAAAAGGTGAAGGAGTCTAAGATGAAGATATACAAAAGAACGATTTCAACTTATTCTTTTTCGTCATATTTCTTTGTTTCTTTAATTTCTTTCAAAATGAGTTCCGGTTCTGAAAAGATTATCTTTGTGCCCGTGGTAAATGGGTGAAAGTTAGCATGAGTGGGAGTATGTTTTTTCTATTGAAACAATGCACCATGTCGTATTGTTGTCCACAAACATTACATATCCGAGCTTGGTCAATTATGTTTAGAGAAAATTTGGCTTTATCAGTTCTGTTGGTATAACTAGGTTAGCATACAACTATGATGGTTCAATCTATGATTTAGGTGACACTAATGAGTTCATGGTTTCATGGAATTCGTTGCTAAGTCAAAAAATTGGCCTACACCTTATCCATATGTCGATCATCGATGTGCGGTGGAGGCGATGTTGGTGGTAATTCCATCATTGGGAACTATATCGGTGGGTAGTTCTAATTCAGGAATGTATGACTACTCCCAAATGCATGATCAATATCAACTCAAGAAGAAGAAGAAGAAGAAGAAGGAGAAGGAGAAGGAGAAGAAGAAGAAGAAGAAGGAGAAGGAGAAGGAGAAGAAGAAGAAGGAGAAGGAGAAGAAGAAGAAGAAGAAGAAGAAGAAGAAGAAGAAGAAGAAGAAGAAGAAGAAGAAGAAGAAGAAGAA